TTATTAAGAGTTTGTAATTTTTCATTATTGATATTGAAAACTGTAATGGATTGGTCTTTGCTGTCAAATGTGTGCATCGTGTGCAAATTGTCTTTATATTAAGTATTTTTTTATCACAAGCCTTAGTATATTTGGATAGTGGCTAGTAGTGCAGACCAGGGTGGCCTGAACACCAACGACGGAGTAATACAAGCTCTTACAGACATCATACCTATTTTATTTATTTATTTAAACAGATAAATATCGGTATAAAGGGGCACTAAATACATATGCACCACACAAATCATATTTGATTTGTGTGAGGGCTGTGATACTGCCCGGCTATCCAAACCGAAGGAGGTACAAGCTAGTCGTTATTTAAACTCAATAGCTTAGTAGATAGTGCGTTGAATATTCAAAGTAAAAAGGTACTCGGGGAGGGGTTGGAGTCACGGTATGAACAGCAACACTAGGATGCAGGTAAGTCGAGATGACGAGTCATGAATCGGACGAAATAAATATTCACCATAACAATACAGCTAAAATTCACCTTACTCCATAAAACATAAATTAGCTTAAGATATTAAGAAAAAAAAAATAAAATTGAGAGTATTTTTGACATCCTACCTATATATATATATATATATATATATATATATATATATATAAACAGATGTAATTACTGTCATTCTTAATATTACCATATAGATTTAATAAAGAAACTTATCCCAAATGATGACGAAAATACGCCATAACTTAACAACAATAATGCCAGTGTAGTGTTGGTACACATTTATCTCCATACAGAGAAACTTAGATTATTAATATAACAAAATAACTGACAGTAAAATGACGTAAAATGAAATAGTTTCATAAGTGCAATTACTGAGTGAGAGTGAAAGAGATAGAGAGAGAAATATGTTTATGAATCTAAGTTGAACGTGATATCTTGGCAACAGAGGAGAAAATAGATGAGTTACATACACAATGTATGCACCAAGTTGACTAATTTAGTAAATCACATACAATGTTCTCTAACAGTTAAAATAAATATACATCAAAACAACTCGATTATGACATTGCTTTTTTATTGATAGAGAAGTTTATTTATCATTGGGTAAGCTAGTACAAAAATATAATTATTTTTATGAAAGTATGGTTTATTAGGAATGGTAGCCGAAGTTATCGGACACATTTCCAGTGTTTAATTAGTGTGCGGCGTCGAACACTTTCGGGTACTTTTACTTTTATTAAGTGAGTACGTACTGCCGCATATGCGATATTAATTTACGCTTAACATTTTATTGCAAGCCCTGACTTACACTAAACTCGAGTTTCTTGAAGCAGTGCGCCAATCAGAAGTCGTCAAATGAGAAGACCAAAAAATTGTGCAAATCAAAAATCTACTGATGATGATTCGACGTGATCGGTCAAGAAATGGTTTCATTTTCTAAGGTGTACATATATATAAGAATTTATGTATGCGAATCATTTTAGTCCAATAAACTTCATTCTTCACTCCTAGTCTTCTCACTCAGTAGTCAGCTGAAAGCTAGATTATAAGAAGTTCGTGTACCAGTCTGCAGAATCACGGTTTATGATGTTTCTCATCCGAAAAGGCAGACAATTGAGGGTAATTCCAAATGTTTGAGATGAAAACCAAAAAATTATACATAGCACTCACTGTTATGACTGGGGGTGTCCGAAATCTGATACAGGATGTGTTACGTGCTAACTCCCCTGCTGACTACTTGAGTAAGAACACAAGAGTGGACGAGAAAGCATATTGAGCTACTGAATAAAATGCATATATATATATATATATATATATATATATATATATATATACATATAACACTCTACCCCTTAGGAAATAAATCTATATCATAGCCGATCAGATGTGCTTGCTCTTCAGGTCATCGATCAAACTTCTCATTAGGCTGCTTCTGACTAGCTTACCATATCATTCATTGAGTCCTAGATACCGTAGGCTTATTAAACATTAAAAATATAATAAATAACTTCCGCCGAGATGAGATGAGTCTAGATAATTCTTTTACAATTGTTGTCTGATTGATTATGAAGTTAATTTACAGCTAATGAGAAAAGATATGCAATAATTAGAATTATTTCGCAACAGAAATAGCTGAAACTGTTAAGATTTAGTTGTCTTAGGAGGTTTATTAGTCTTCTAAGGATTTTTACTAATTTCTTGATTTTAGTATTGTAGAAGTACCATTACATAATCTCGTCAATCTAAATGCCAACATATTCATGCTAAAGACTTCTGGCACAATCTTTATCGTAGGTATAAACACCTCCATAAAAAATTCACCATCACATACAAAATCTTTGGTAATAAATTTACTGAAAAGTTATACAGATGAAATCATACAGGAATCATCGTTGTCGACATATTGCATATGATAATAAAGTCAGGGATAAAGATCGTTATCTATTTTAACATCATTACTTCACCAATTTAATTATTATTTAATAATATGATATCTTTTATTAGAATTCAAGTAAACAATCCCCTCTAGACGTCCTGTTTAAACATCTGGGCTACCTGTTCCTGTCATCTAGATACTTCAACAAGTTATCTAATTTTGTTTGTTTTAATACATCATTATGCCTATTAATCGCACAACCTATTCAGGTGCGTTTCTGAAAAGTGTAAGACCTTTCGCTGTAAAGGTTACAGAAGGCTTAATCAGAGATATCGTGGTTGCTGGCAATATGCAGAGAGAAGAATGTACATTATCCAGATGTCGATTGACTGGGCTGCTAACTGCTAACTGGTGATCACTCAATATTTATCGTCAGGAAGGACGAAGAAGTAAGAAACGGAAACTTGTTGAAGTACTTTGTGCTGAGAATTCTATATTGTACCAAAAATATAATATTGAATAAAGCCAATAATAATTATAAAAAATAATTATTATAAAAACTCTAACAAAAACTGATTAATTCACGTGTTACGTAATATACATATACATATGTATACTTAAAAGTAAGCACTTGATGCTTTCAACATTATCATTTCTATACTGTGATAACAAAAAGAATTATATTCTAACAATTTTAAGCATTGCGAATACTACATAAAGATATCTGTATTGTAAATTACTTTATATGATCAAAGATAGAACTGATAAAAAAGAATAAACTTGATCAATTAGAAAGGGACTTTTGTAAATGGACTGTTTATGGAGAGGAGAAAACAAATGATATTACAAAATATAAGCAGATTTTACCCAATAATACATCTATCTAAATTCTTTTTTACAACTTCTGCTAGTAAATAGACAAAAAGTGGATATATATATATATGTCTTTTTGGATAAAGATTGTCTGTTTTGCCAAATGTTTATAACAACCTAAACTGTTTTCGAAGAATTCATAGAGAGTTTTTGGTCAATGATTGACTTGAGTCAGCTAAGCAGATGCAAACTATCTATCTGGTTTTGGTTCATACAATAACCTCTTTCAGTAGTTATGGTTAAAGAGGTTGGTTGATATTAATCAAAATCTGTCACAAAGGCACAGACCAATTCATTATTAACTTTCATCTTCCTCTGTATCTGTACTTCCAGTATTCCGTCATATGTGGCTTTCACTATGCCTTCTCTAACCGTATTCTTAATGTTTAGTCTTTCTCACCGTCATCACAACTACATTATTTTCACCTTTTTGTTATTCACCTAGTGAACTTCATGTCGTCGTTTTGATGTCGTCTGACAACCTGAGCTAATGAGCATTTATTATAGGCTTTATATTGATTATACATTCACACGTTCACGAAGTAAATGTCACTTTCGATCTTATGTTGCATCGTGGATGTGAATCTCTGAGGAGTATCGAAATACGGCTAAACATTTCCAGTGCCTGGTTAAGCGATATCAGTTACTGATGAAAACTGACTATATATACATATATAGGCAGTGTCAGGCTTAATCTGTAAATCGAAGAAAGTTCTAGTGAGTAGTCATGACCAGTGGAGCTAATCCGTGTCGGATGTGAGTAAGCAACCTACGAAAAATAATTCAAGGTGATTGCTCAATGTCTTGGATTGATCAAAGTTAGAAACTGAAACCGTTGAATGCCAGCCCAGTGGTCTAGATGTTAAGCGTTCGCGCGCGAGACCGAAGGTCCTCGGTTCGATTCCCGTGCGCGGGATCGTGGATACGCACTGCGGAGAAGTTCCATACTAGAACGAACCGGCCATCCAGTTTGATCGATCCATGAGTCCAGTGAGATTAAACAATCTCCATAGTGAAAATCGGAGATAGATATATGCATAAAGTGTAATGAACTCTACCTAAGAGATGATGCTACTATAATTAATATTATGAATAATACTTTGTAGTTTGACACAAACAAAAATAATGATCGATCGATTAGCAGCTAAATAAATTGATATTTAACCGTAGTGCTACTGGTTCGAACTCTATATCTGGATATTGTCTCTATGAGCAAGCTGGTAGTATGACTAGCTTCTTCATGTATAAAAAATATGCTTCAAAGCCGAGTAAATAAAAATATGTACTTGGAGATAGATAGGGGTGAATAAACAGAAAAAGTATTTGATTTACATTATTTTTGTATTATCCTTAATGTAAGCTTTCATTGAATTAATTAATTGATGATACGTCTCTTACCGTTCATAACCATGTGCTTGTTACTTAGTTTTATAGCATAAATCACCTAACAATGTACAGATTGTGATAACTTATTTACAGTGAGTTATGAGATCATGAAGTTGATATTTATGGTCATGTGCAATTCAATTCATAAAATAAACAGAATAAATTCATTGACTTTTCTCATGTTCTGACTGAGCAAACTAGGAATAGGAATATGTTGATCATTGATACTATTAACCCAAACAGACTAATCACTAGTGAAGATAATAAAATAATGAACGTAATAAATAGGTATATATAAATGAGATCAATATTACTTCATAAATAAGTTACATTTAATTTATATCAATTAAATAATAATAATAATAAACTGACCCATACATTAGACTTCATGCCATGACATTCAGAAGTACTAGTAATTGCTGTTATTGGTAATGTTGACGATGTTGATGTGGTTACTATTGTTGAACAACAGTTACTATCTATCACTTGTTGAGCTAATTCATATTGTTTAATCTGAGAGAAATGCTCTGATCGTCGATGAGCAGATTCCAAAAGTACCTGAAAAGAGAAATGAAAAAAGGGATTGAGTTAAAATAGAACTATTAAACTGACACGAATAAAACAAATTAATTACACTATAATTCACTAGATAAACATTTCTATAGTTTGATAATTAATACTAAGAATTTATAATGTATATATATATACGTATATACTACTTAAAACAATAAGTTTCCTAGGGTTAAGACCTAGACTTACACTTCTAAACAATGATTGAAAACATTTAAATCCGGTAGATGTATTTCAGTCAAAAACTGTGATTAAATTATAGCAAGTACCTAGATTATCATGTAAAATCAAACTCTTAACAATCATGTGGATAATTTAAAGCTTATTTTATTTATTATAACCTAATCAGATAGGTAGGTTAACAAACATTCGGACTTTTCGATCACTGAGTGGTATAATTAATGCTATCTTGACTAATATTTAGTGCTGAACAAAAGTGATTCAATCTGGAATATAACACACAGAGTATCAGTTTCATCGAGATTACAGATACACCTTGTTTACAAGCACCGACTAACCAATCAGTGAATAATAAGCGGTGTAGGGCCTGCCGTCACACATGTATCGGTTCAAACTGCCACGCCATACCAACGCAGTGAGATGAAATCATCAAGATGAATACCAAAAAGCTGGACGTAGTTGTCATAACAGTATCGGTAAAAAAGCAGAGATTATGGATAGAGAATGGTTCAAGAAGCAAAAATTAATTCAATAAATAAGCTTGTAACTCAGGATCCGTTAGTAAACAAACAGCGAATGGATAAAGTCGCAGAGACTGATTCCGAGTTACGACACTTAACGTCCCAAAACACTGGTTATGGTAATAACGCCAATCCTAACCAGAAGATAATCTGCACATGTACTAACATAACTCAGATGAAAATTCAGTAAGTTGATAGGCTGATATCACGTTTCGGTTTATCTACCTTGTTACGACACACGGTGTCCAAAATCTATACTAATGCACAAGGTTTCTATACGCAAGCTTCCAACCGGTTAGTGAGTGAGAAGACTACGAGTAAAAAAGAAATCTTATTAGGATAAACTGATTCACATTCATAAGTACTCATTTATCATACATATATGCCTGCTCTTTGGAGTATGAAATCGCTTCTTGACTAAATACGTAGATCGACCATTAGATTTTCAACTGGCACAACTTCGTGGCATTTTTATTTGGGGACTTCTAATTGGCTCATTTTAGTACATCTCTAGTTTTCCTTTAGACTGATTCTACGCCAAACATTCCATTTTGTGGTAGGTGGCAGTTGAGAAACTTGAATGCACTGAGTCCCACATCCGACTGCCACCTCCAACCGCCTGACATCTTAGTGACCATAGATTGGTTGAGATCTAAATAGCCTTGAATATAGTAATTAAGTTAATCACTCACTTAAAAAATTAGAATAGTAAAATATCAAGCACGCATCTCCATCTGCACACATACACAGAAAAACATGGAGAAGAAACATATTGTCAAATGAAAACAGTAAAGTGAAAAGGAACTATGCATTACTTACGTGTAATTCACGAAAGATATACGTCAATTCCTTCACTAATGGTATTAGAATATTATGTAAAAAATTCAACTGACTATTGGATTTCACTACAAGATCTGGATCCATATGAGGAGCAACAGGAAGACCAGCTTGTTTTTCTGCTGCAGCCTAAACAAAAAAGAATCAAACGGAAGAACACTGAAGAATAGGTTGAAAGAAAAGAAGATTAGACAACAACAAATTTGAGACGTGTTAGTGTAGTTCCAACATACAAATATACATGTTATGTGTGATATTAACATTTTATAATCCAATCACAAAACAAATTTACAATTGGATTGAAATAAGTAGTTAAACAATGAGGTGTATGTTTTTTTTTAATGATTTTAGGCATTTAACTTACAACAACTAGGTCGCATGTTCGAGTCTTCCTCTATCTACTTCAGTTTGAGCAATCAGATAGTAATGGTACTAGCCTTCTTCTCATGTATGAATCGTGGCTGAAAGCTGAGTACATAAATTTGGACTTGATAATTGAGTTACATCAGGTATAGTTCAACAAACTGAACTGGAGTAACTAACGCTTTCGCACTCACCTTTTCCTGACAGCACTTGGGATACGTAGAGTGCAATTATTCAGTTACGACTAACTTTTATTCAATTATCATTCTATGTTGAGTGAAGTTCTTAAAAACTAAATAGACGAAACATCGTTTTATGAATGACGAAATATCAGTGATTGCATCATTATCAACCATTTGTATAGTGAAAAAACAATTTTATTGACACCATGAAACAATTTAAGTTAGACGATTATTGGAAACCTGGAAGCACTAATAAATGCTAGCTCAGTGGTATACAGTTTAAGCGTTCGTGTTTGAGACCTAAGGTTCTTTGTTCGACTCCCATTGGCTGGGTCCCATTTTAGGACGAAACAGCCATTTAAAGTTTCCAAGGAAGAAAATGAAAGTAAAGAATGAATTGATCTGTGCCTTTGTAAAAGTTTCTGATTAATACCAACCAATCTCTTTAACTATAACTACTGAAAGAGGTTAATTGCATGGACCTCAACCAGGTAGATAGTCTCCACCTGTCTAAATGACTAACATCAATCGGTCATGCATTGAGCTACGATTAAACAATATATTTTTTCATATCTATCTCAAAGATTAGTTTCTATTTTCGGCAGTAGTTAAAATGAAGAACTTTTAAGAAACAGGATAAATTAAGAAATAGTTAATTTGATGAAATACTATGTTATGCTGTAATGATGAACTAAAAAGTTATCAATGAACTGATTGATATGGTGCAATATATTTTATGACATCATATGTTTTTAACCGATTCGGAATGTACAAAATCATAGTTATGAATTTCATTGGATAAAATCTTTATTGAAACTCAATAGTTTAGCGATAAGTTGGATGTACACAAGGCCTAATCATCTCAATAATAACTAGACATAAAGAAAGACAGTAAATCGGTTGATAAGATTATGAATGCTCATTGACTTAGGTAGTTAAGCAGTGTATTACATATACCCAGACATCACCCACCTCGATGTGGAATGTTCTCTGGCGAATAATCAAGTTGGTAGAAAATTAGAGGCGCCCAAACCGAAACGTAGCATCAGTTTGTGAAGTGAAAATGCTAGTTATTAGACGCCCATTACCTGATTTGGATAAGCGCGTTTATCGTGACCAATGGTTAGAGATGTTGGATGATACGGTTACGAATGAGTAGCAGTGGAGCAGATACATTCTCACTTTATCTGGTCCTCGATCATGAGTTCTAAACTTATTTTATACTTTCTATTCCATGAACGAATTCTTTCCTTTCGACTCATACCATTTATGTTTAAGCTTTTTTTACCACTGCTACTCCCAGTGTAGTGAACAAAACACTAGTTGGGGACAATCGAATGTATTTAAGCAAAGACTACAGACTATCTCAATAAATTCTGATTACCAAACAATGAACAGTCAATTTGCAAATTAACAACCAATTGTTTCAATCTTCACTGTTTCTTCTCTTATTCCAATGCTCATGCATTTTCCAAACGATTGCGCTTCATTTCAGTTCTTTGCTCATCGGTCTTCTGCCAAAATACATTCTATGTCTGACCCACACCATATACTACTTATATAGATATAAGTAGACAACACCACACCAGTACTTGGGCGATAATAATAATTTCATCACGCCGTACTGATGTACTGTGGCGACATGAACTGATACATATATTTGTAAGGTTCTATAGTGTTTATGGCTGAATAACTAACTAGTATCACTAATAAATCATATTTAATCTGGCTGGATTAATTAGCAACTTTAAGTCATACACATATTGTATGAAATCTTAGTGATATATCATTAAACAATCTAAATAATAAGATTCAAATCCATAATCTGATTAGTTGAAAACTAAGTAAGTTAACTAATAATCTATCATTCTTATTTATATTTCACTACTGGATAACTATCATTATTTAGTTATGTAAATAAGAATGAAGATTTTCAACTAAACTACAATCAGAACAGTCTTATTATTATGGATTAGTATTGATTTTATTGTTTTCCTTCCTTTCATAAAAGAAAACAATAGTTAATAGGAAAAGAAATCATTTTGAAGGGAAAACAAAAAAAAAATGGTAAACACAAACAATTTCAGGTCAAATGAAGATAGATAGACATGATTGGCAAGAAAAAATAAATTCTAACTTGGCATACAAATTATAACCCTAATAAAGTTAAATTTGATAATGAAACAATTTTCAATTCCAACTTCATAAGTTATTAGTGACTTGTTAATTTCAACGAGAAAAATTATGTTTTAATTATCTGTATGAAGTAGTATAGACTGTTAGTGGATTCGAGGAAGTTAGTGAAAAGACTTGAGTCTAAACTGTATGCTAACTGGTACTGGTTAGCAAGATATAGTTGGGATATTGAAGCAACTAATACTATCTATGGAGTCTAAATTCGCTCCATAATCTAAGACGTAACCTCTAATCTATTCATGTGATGACTGACTTGCTATAAGGCTAAAATATTTACATTAAGCGACCACTAAATAACATCAGAACATGGCGTACACGATTTCGAATAATTTATAAGTGTGATCACATTGTAACTTCATCGACAAAATTCGATCAATACCAGGCAAAAATGATATTGGCCAAACTATTTGGTCAACTATAGTGGTGTAAATTTCTTAAGTTCAGTGATCAAAGTAGTAATGATAAGATATTATAATAAAAAATATAGTTTGTGTAAAATCACTAATCATGAATTACAATGATTGCATGAAAAAACACCTAGCACAAGAATATGAGTGTGGTAATTGAGGTGTTATGTCTTTACATATTCCCAAAACAAAACTGCAGGTAGTCCGTCAGTCGAATATAATCCAGGAGCTATTCAGGTCATCGCTAAACTGATGACCGTGACAGAAATATGTGGTGTTTCTGATTATGGTGACCTAGTCAATCTATTACTCTCCAGAACAGTCGTTTCTTGACAGGTCCTAAAATTTCAGAGATATCAGTTGGAAAGTCGTAAGATCAACGGATAAAGTCTCCAATTGCAAAGGTCATACATTATTTCCAATCACGGAAAGGTGTGGCAGAATGGATATGTTGATCGTACATAGCCAACATCTTTAAAGATGCTACCTCCTGGCAGATAGTAAAAGAGATTAGGAAAAATACGGTCCTAGAAATGATACACACAAACACACCTTTAGCGTCTTAGGAGTTTCCGGTGATGACATTTTTTAAACCATAAAACGCTTATACACTGAAAAATGTTTACAAATGATCAGCATCATTTCGCCATCGATGATTACATATCCATTTCGATAAGACTATATCAATAACAATTCAAGTCCCGTTCGCATTGTTTAAGAAGAAATATGTTTTCAAGGCATGAGTCGTGGAAGAGTTCAAATCGTCTCATACCTCGTCATAAGCAAAACTGAGAAGTTACAAGATTGAAAAAAAGTATTCTATTGGTCAGTAATAACAGGAAGTAACCACCTATAAATATTATTATTATTTATCTATGGAAAATTATACAAAAAATTATTACACAAACCTGTAGAAAAAATTCGTTGAATAAACAATCCACCCAGGCATCAGCAACTAATGGTGAACGAATTTCATTCGATATATCGCATACTTTCAACAGTATCATTAAAAGTCTTAATAAATATTCTGGTTGTTGATTAATCAATGAAATTAATGAAGACTGGATCAGTGATGCATTAATATGACTATAATCATTGTTATTAATATTATCACCATTGTGATCACTGTCATTATCACCGCCAAAATTAACAACGTTATTATTATTATCAACATGTTGATTAATACATGAATTATATTGTTCATATTTGTCTGATCGATTTTGTCTGTCCACCCCTGTTTCGTCATTGTCATTATGGTTAACTTGATGACGATGATAATGATCATGGGAAGTTGTTAGTGTAGGCTGTTGTTGTGTAGGCGATGGTGATGAATAACCAATATATGATGATGATAATTGAAGGGAAGGAAATATTGAATCAGGATTTTTCAATTCCCCTTGTTGATTATTATTAATACAACAAGAATGATCAATATTTTGATGATTATGTTTTATACTACTAATACTACTACTACTCATATCTATAGATAATGACTGACAATTCAAATAGACTTGTTTTCGTAAAACTTGAAATTGTGATAGACATTCTGAATGGATTGCCATATCTGTGCTTAAAATACATCTATATGAATATATATATATATATATATATATATATATATACATAAAATTTGAGAAAAAAGTTAGTTGCGTCACCATCAGCCACCCCCCCACCGGAACCCAATCCAAAAAAAGAAATAGATTTCCAATGTTTCAATTGTTTAATTTTTAAAAGGTATGAAATATGGAAAAGAAAAAGAAAAAAAATGACAAAACCGTTAGAATGAATTATTTTGTGTTTCGTTAATTGTGTGAAAAGAAACCAACAACAACAACAACAACAAAAACAAAGAAAAAAGTATTTCAGCTCAATTTTCTCTCTTTCCCCTTTGTGAAACTTTTTTTTGCTAAGAGAAATATATATATATATATATATATATATATATATATCATGATAAATACGTCATATCATTCATTATTTGGTAAGATAGAAACGAAATTAAAATCAATAATTACTTGGAAAAAAAAATTAACTTTACTCCTTATAAAATAGATTATTTCAGGAATACTATGAACATATGACGATGGATTATTAAGTAAGGAATGTAAAAAGTTAAAATCTTATTGTTTTACTAAGACGATGAATCGATTAAAGTAAGACAATGATTGAAAATCTATAAAAAAAACTGGAAGGCTTTTTGATTGTAGTGTCAGCAGCCAGTAGTAGTAGTAATAATAGCCCCCAAATGCCCTGGTACGGCTGAGAGTGGAGAGAGTCCGCTCTCCCTCTCAAAATGCTCTCATGAGCCCACCCTCATTCCAAACCAATGGTGTACATGGGCTGGGTTCAGTATCCTGAGGGCGTATGAACCAATCGTTGGACACTGGCTACCATGGGACTGCATCTCCTCATCATGCTCCACTACCTTGTGGACTAGACCTTCAGGTCAAAGGCTCAAAGTGTGGCCCCCTAAGAAAACCACCTGCTTCAGTCTGGGCACTTAGGCAGTATCACAGCCCTAATACAAATCAAATGAGATTTGTGAGGAGCATATTTATCTAGTGCTTCCTTGTACCAATATCTATGTGTTTAAATAAATAAATAATAATAAAAGTAACTGGCAATGGAATATATAGGACGTGTGTTACATCCTATTCGAAACTAATTAGCTAAGTGAACTTGAATCTGACTATCATGTACAATCACTCAGCTCAGTGGATAATACGTTGAATGTTAAAAGCGAAAGGTATTGCGTTATAATCTTAATGTGGTGAACGTCGACATTGGGAGGTGTAAGTATATCCAGTAAACAAGTTTCAAATAGGATGGAACGGACGTACTGTGTTCCACTATTAGCTGCCCTACATCCACCACTATCTAACTTTAATATCTCTAAATTACAATAAAAACAAATGAATGGGATATATATATATATATATATATATATATATATATATATATATATTCTGATTAGTTTCGTAACAACAAACAAAAATTTATAAGGTATATACATTTCTAAATTGTTTGTCCATTTTACCTGACCTTAAAAAATTTAATATCTTTTATTCATTTTTGTATTGGTTGTTTGAATCTTCCCATTGATGTTTAGAACTGCAATTGATCAGTCTCCTATCGGCATATGTGCATCCTGTACGAAGGGCCTCGATATTGTCGTAAGTCATAAGCATTATAAGCAGAGATGGATAATGGATAGCAGTGAAATCCAGGATGTACGTTTCGTCCTATTTGGGACTCGCCAGCTGGATTTATCTTCAATATCTTTTATGTTATAATATTGATGAGAAGGAAATGTTTCATTAAATAAAAAATCTTACAGATAGGGATAAGGAGGTTAAGGAAAATGGATACAAACAAAGTTGACCTTAAATGCAAAATGGAATAATGCAAAGAAAAATTCAAAATTATCGTTATAATAGAATACAAAATGCTCCGTTACCTCACAATCGTTAACATAAATCCTAAGATATGGATGTTATCTTTAAGATAGAAAAAATGTACTCAAGAAAAAGAAAATAGATGCATATATGTATATACAAATAGACAAACCTTATCACAGATCTACGAAAATGACGTGATTCATTCGGTGTTAATCCACTGATAATATTTGTTGTTGGATTATTGGTGATAAGATCGAACGCTGTCATACAATGATGATTCTCCAATGGTGATATATCATTGTAACGTAGAGCAAGCCAAGTTCCAGCATTAATCTATTTAAATAATAATAATACAAATCGATGGGAAGATACAAACAAACAATACTAATTTGAATTTAAACTTCACCCCATCGCGCAAGCAAGTGACTATCAGGACTCAGTGGCCGAGTGGATAACGCGATGGCGTTTCAAGCGAGGTTAATGGGTTCGAATCCCAGAGTGAACATCAACTCTGAGATGCAGGTACATCCAGCTGACGAGTCCCAAATAGGACGAAACGTGCGTCCTGGATTCCACTGCTAGCAACTATCCATCTCTGCTAACCATGCTTGTGAATTAAGGTATATCGAGGCAATACGCACAGTATGCACATATGCCAATTAGAGAATGACCAGTTGCAGTCCTAACAAATCGATGGGAAGATTCAAACAAACAATACTAATTTGAGTTTAATAATAATACTCTTTGTTACCTGATCAAATTCTTTCACTTAATTATGAATATGATGAGAATATAAAAGCTGGTACGTGTTGCGTAAAAAGTTAATTAAATATCTTGAAGAAAAAGTCAAAGAAACAGATATTTCTCCATAGTATTACAAATTATATCATACAAAGATATTCAATGAAATTATCAAGCTTTTTGTTTCATTATCACATACTACTTAATTGTAATAATAATACTGACAGTAATAAATAATAATAGTGGAAAAATGGTGTAATCATCGATTGATTTGATTTACACGTTTAACATTCAAAAAGCAAAGCAAAATGAGCGAAGAAACATTTGTTCATAATTAAGTTCACATTACCATTATCACCATACACTCACATTACTATCATGTATGTATCTAGTCCAGATTTATAATTTCTGGTTGTTAATATTTCAGTACTATAATTGATTAATCTCTGTTGATATATGTACATCCTAAACGGATTTTCTCGATTCTATCATTCTAAATATTATAAAACTTGTAATAAGGAGGCTATTACTAGGTAATTCGCTTAGGATACACATATATCAACACAGACTGATCAACTATAGTCTTGAATTTCAACAACGAAAAATTATAAAACTTTATTAATCGTACCTTATTTGTTATGAATGTCGGGCTTGTATAGCATGACAACTTAATCAATCTACATTGGCTTGAATATTCGTCCTTTAGGTTCAACATCATACAACTCAGGCCGGTTGGACAGAAGTAAGATTAAAAGAAGGAAAGTACATGGTCAGAAAGTGAAACCGTGCTATCGAATGTACATGTGTTTAACGTTAGTTATGTATTTTCTTCAGACAACCAGCACATGCAACAATGATCCGATAATTGACCGTAAAAATATCACACCTCATATTATTTTATTAATTTCTGTAACTAGCATAAGATCTGTATAGTTTAATCTTTCGAAATATTAAAACATTAATTTATTCTATACTTAAGTTTTAATGTAGCAGTAGCCTCTGCATCAATAAGCCTCAACATACACAAAGGACAAAGCAAGATTCTCAAATACAACACAGAGAACACCAAACCACTCACGCTTGATGGAGAAATTCTGGAAGAGATGGAAAGATTCACGTACCTGGGAAGCATCATTAATGAACAAGGAGGGTCTGATGCAGATGAAAAGAAGAGGATTTGCAAAGCAAGGACAGAATTCCTACAAATGAAGAACATGTGGAACTCAAAACAACTCTCAACTAACTCCAAAGTGAGAATCTTCAATACGAACGCCAAGACAGTCCTCCTGTACGGAACTGAAACTTGAACTACTACATCCATCGCCAAGAAGGTACAAGTATTTATAAACAGTTATCTACACAAAATAGTCAACATTCGTTGGCCGGATACTATCAGCAACAGAGTTTTATGTGGGAGGACAAACCAACTTCCAGCTGAAGAGGAAGTTAGGAAAAGACGTTGGAAGTGGATCGGACATACATTAAGGAAATCACCAATGTAAATCACAAGGCAATCCCTAACCTGGAATCTGGAAAAGAAGCGGAAAAGAGGAAGGCCAGAGAACACATTACGCCTGTAAACAGAAGCAAATATGAAAAGGATGAATAGCAACTGGAAAGAACTGAAAAGGATTGCCCAAGATAGAGTTGGATGGAGAATGCTGGTGAGCGGCCTATGCTCCTCCACGAGGGATAACAGGCGTAAGGAAGAAATACTTAGGTTAAAAATAAACAAATACATAATCATGAACAATCTAATCAGTCAAACTATACGAATTAGTGCCGATAAAAAACTGTAAGGTTGTTAAGCAGAGATGGATAGTTGCTAGCAGTGGAATCCAGGACGCACGTTTCGTCCTATTTGGGACTCGTCAGATGGATGTACCTGCATCTCAGAGTTGATGTTCACTCTGGGATTCGAACCCATTAACCTCGCTTGAAACGCCATCGCGTTATCCACTCGGCCACTGAGTCCTGATAGTCACTTGCTTGCGCGATGGGGTGAAGTTTAAATTCATTTAGTAAGGTTGTTAGTTTTATGTTTCATTGTCATTCTCTCACAGGTCCTTGTTCGATACATTCAAGAAACAGTTATTCATTTATTCACTTACTCTCCAATACTAAACTATAGTACATAAGAATTATGACATGATATATATGGTATGGCGGCCTGCTTAAACATCTGGGCTACCTGTTCCTGTCATCTATATATTTCAACAAGTTATCTAATATTGTTTGTTTTAATACATCATTATAGCTATTAAGCACACAACCTATTCCGGTGCGTTTCTGAAAACTGTACAACCTTTCGCTGTAAAGTTTACGAAAGGCATAATCAGAGATGTCGTGTTTGCTGGGAACATGTAGCAAAAAAATATACATTATTCATATGTCGATTGACTGAACTGCTGACATCCAACTGGCGATCACTGAATGTTTCTCATCAGGAACAACGAAGAAATAAGAAACGTAAACATGTTGAAATACTTTATGCTGAGAATTCAATTTTGTACCAAATAATATAATATTGAATAAAGCTAATAATAATAATAATAATAATATAATAAAAAAACAGATTCTCAATCAACCAGGCTATTTAAAAAAATATAAAAAAACAAAATTATTGATTAGCAGTTAGCCACTCAAGGTCACTCGTTTGTTCAAATTTTGGGACAAATAATTGATTTTACTGGAATTTTGTCACTGTTAATGGATTTTAACTATTTATTTACATGAATTTATTTTGTTTTATTTATTCATTTGTTATTTACCACTTGGTGATAATCTATCTATATGCATGATCTGAATATTTTCATCAATATAATTGTTGTTGTATATTACTATTATTATTAATAGTAGTAGTAGTAGTAGTATTGCTTCTGTTAATTGAATTAAGAAAGATTTAATCACCTACATAAAGAAGCAAGAAAATTAACATACATTTAAACATGTAATACTAATGATTATCTACTGCTTGAAAAGAAAAATAACTGATAACAAATTTGCAATTTCCATCTACCTACAAGAGTAAATAAATCTTTCCTTATTGACTTTATTGTTACTATGATTACTACAATAATAATAATAAGTATTAGTAGTAGTAGTAGTAATGATAGTAGTATTAGTATTCCTATGATTATCAGTTTAAGTGTGTAAAATTAAATGATATGACGTCAAAGTAAAAACAAAAAAAGAAGGCTGAGTGAGAGAGAAACACATGGCCAATCAAAATTCGACCTTCAGTTTAAACTGACAGGCCTGAACGCTAATGTCTATAATAATAATAATACGACCAATATCACCATCATCATCATCACTACGACACCACCACCACCACCACTATCATATCTTATATATCTTTATTTGCTTACGTCAATAAAATATATTGTTGTATTTAACTAAAGACTAAATGGTGACGCGTGTAATTTAACACTGAGACACGATCAAATTGAATGTATCAACTAACTAAGTAACTAACTAACTGATTTACCTAGAAAAATATTTATTAGCTCAAAAATCAATAATTTTTTTTTCAAGTTAAACAAACTAATTTTTTTCCTTTCTCTCTCTCTCATTGTAGAAACGGAAAAAAAAAATTAGATGATTGAATGAATGATCTAGATCAGAGATTTTAACAAAAATACAAAAAAAAAAAATAATAATTTGCTTGATATCATCACATAAATTTTTAAAAAAATTTAGTCAGACACATCCATTCTTTTGTTGGTTTGGCGAGATAATAAATAGTTAACTAACTACAACATGTGTAAGAGAGAAGAAAGAGAGTAAGTAGAAGGTATATGCATAATAATTACGTTGAAATGATGCAATAAGTCCTTAAATGAGGACAAGAAAACCACGAATGGTTTTTGGATTTTTTTTTAATGCTCTTCTCATTGATTTTTTTAAATAAAAAAAAACAGGAATAAAAGAACCATGTTCAAATATTGAAATTAAATAAATCGTTGTAACAATTAATACGAGAAAACACATATAGGCAGAGAGTATGAGAAATAGATGTTGGCTAAAAAGTAAAGGTATGGTCAAGTCGATACGGAGCTTGGTTCTTTCACAATTGATCGATAGAGGTCATAAAGTTGACAGGAATCAGTCATTTAAAAGGAAAATACAAATAAGATTACATAATCACTTTTTAGTCTTCAAAAATAACTGAACTCTTAAGTGTGAACAGATTAAATAAGATTCCACTACATTACACTGGAGTTTTACAGTTGATTAATATACAAATCAGATTGTTACTTAATATTTATTATATTCTTAGAATTATATAGAAGATAATAACCTTCCAATACAAATCAATCTTAAAAGTAGATTTCGAACACAATTTGTAAATTACATGAGTTAAAAGTCCATCAAAATTAATGTTATATGTATATAATCTGCGGCGATTATACACTAATTGAAAGCCTAAAATGTTCAGAGGTTGTGGTATGGTACCTATAGTCTACACCTACAAAACATAATCACACTGTGATAACATTTCAGTCAATTGGCAGAATGTTTCTTTGAAAATCAATCAGTTTTGAAAACAACAATATGTATTAGCGAAGTTTCACAAATTTTAGTTTCAT